GAAGCACTTGCCTTGTTGGACTGAATGCACTATTGGAGAATGTCCTAGGTCAAAGATATGCTCTTGAATGATAAGACTAGGCTTTACAAATCAAAGACTCAAAGGAATCATGCAACCCTCTTATTTCTGGGATACCATCGTGTCACTTACCAATTCTTTCTTTCCAGAATACCATTCAAGACACTTAAAAAAAAAGATCAGACTTACGTGATAAATATACATAAAATGAAAAGACACAAACTGCTATTGGACACTACTATTGGTAATGTCTGTGCCATGTGCCTTTAAAAAGAGCCTACGTGGCAAGAATGCGGCAAGAGATGTGTCTAAATATTCAAAATAAATCAACAGTATTGGATAACAATATAATTCTTAAGTCAGACGCTGCCTCAAGATTAGGTGCATCTTCACCTAATGTAACAGGAAAAAAAGGCAATGGATTTTATTTTGTTAATTGTATCTACTCACAAATCAGACTAAGGTCGCCAGATGTGTAGACACAATGAGAATCTTGTTGTTGTTTATAGACTTTAATTGAAGTGATGACAAAGGAAACAGATCTATTTAAAAACAAAACCAAACAGCTATTCCTGTCTAGATTAAGAGGAGGCACTGGGTGTGGGATTCACATTTTGAGTGGCCACTTATGGTGCATTGAAGTGATGACAAAGGAAACAGATCTATTTAAAAACAAAACCAAACAGCTATTTCTGTCTAGATTAAGAGGAGGCACTGGGTGTGGGATTCACATTTTGAGTGGCCACTTATGGTGCAACTTGGATGATCCCGAGTTTGTCTATGATTCTGGCAGTATGATTGTCCTTCTCTACAATCCCAGTAATCCATGCTTGGTGCCCTTCACCATATTTGGAGGACTTTATCTCTGCACAGAACCGAGCTGCTTGCTCACGTGGTAAACAGATTAGAAGGCCTCCTGATACCTTCGGGCAGGTCCTGTGCATGAGGCCAAAACATGTTCCCACAGGCCTTGCTCACGGCAGCCATCCTGGCCAGCCCGGGAAGGTCGTGAATCACTAACGACACCTCGTTCCTGGGCTGCTTGGCCAGGTTCTGCGCGTGGCCCAAGATCTCGAAGCCTGTGATGTCAGTGGCCGCGTGGGCGTTGAATGTGCCCTGTTGAGCCTGGCCATATTCATCATCGCCTCTTGGTATGCCAACCCAACGTCTTCTTGGGTGGCCACTAGTTTAATTTTATTCCGTTTTTCAGGGATATCCAGCCACTGGTGCACACCAACGGTGACTTGTGTCCCCGGGGGCTTTGTCGACACCAGCATGTCCCCCGGCACCGAATTATCTGGCATGATAAATTCATTGGGCTGGCAGACAGTTGTAGCGACTCCTTCCAAAACATTCCAGGGGTTTAATAACGTTTGGCCACCTGTTACAGCCATTCATGCTTCCTCTGCTGCATCTTTAAAACCCTGTGTAATTAGGGGCGTCACTTTATCCCTTTCCCTATTGTCATTTTATTACTGACTCCAAGGAGCATCAGCAAGTTGTCACATTCCATGACACCCATTGCGTAGAGGTCACTGAGGACATTGGCACATGTGATCCTGCACATATAAGGGTCATCTACAATAGGATAAATGTAATCTGTAGTTTGAACCAAGGAAAGACCACCATGCCTCAAAGGAATGACGCAGGTATCCATTCCAATGCCAAGTCTTGGCATAACAGCTCCCAGGAACTGCTCATCTTCCTGGAAGTGGTTCTCTTGTAAAGATTCCAGCAATTTCTGCAGGACATCTTGGGGCACTTTGCAGCCCGTACCCTTCAGTTCGGTGAGTCTGGTTAGCCGGATGCTCTTCTCCAATTCATAACTCTCCGGGTTAAAGGACTCCCGCTTAGACACGGTTCTTGGGCCTGCACACCTCGCTGCTCAGCCCCTCCCCTCCCTCTCCCGGCTGGCTGAGTTCTTTAGGGATCCACCGGCTTGCTTTGTGCCTTCCACCTCCTCCCGAAACCTTTATTTTATTTTTTATACATTTTGGAATATCTTAACCATACAAATTCAAATGGTAATATAACATCCACCCCAAAATAACAAACATTAAATTTGTCGTGATTAAGTCAGATCCTACTAAAAGAAAACTTTCAGTGATATGTTGAAGCCTCATCCTTTTGTTCCTTCTCTCCCTTTACAGAGGTACAACTAAGTGGGAGTTGATCTATATCCTTCCCAACCATGTTTTATACTTTTATTATATATGTATGTATATCATACATAGCATTATTTTGTGGTTTTAAGATTGTACATAAATGATATGACACTGTTAGATATCCTTTGAAATTTGCTTTTTTCACTCAGCATTGTTTTCAGGATTCATCCTTGTTGGCATATGGGATATAGTTCATTCATTTTAACTAAGAAATGGTATTCCACTGTATGACTCTACTACCTCTTATTTAACCTTTGCTGTAATCTTGCAAGATAGATATTATTAATCCTATTTTGTAGATGAAAAAACTGAAGTACAGAGAGGTTAGGTAACTTTACTGAGGTAATATAGTTTCTAGCAGATGGAATGAGAACTTGTTCAGGGCCTGTAACTCCTAATCTCATGTTGCTTTCTACTTCCATAAATATTTACTGAGCACCAACTATGTGCCACACATAGTTTTAGCTCCTAGATATCTGGCAGTGAACAAAACAGACAAGACTTTGCTCTCAAGTTTATATTCTAATTGGAAAGACGGTCAAATAAAATAATATGTAATATATCATTTGATTCTAAGTGCCATGATGAAAAATAAAGCAAGATGATGGGGGAAAAGAGTGGGAGTGTATGTGTGCTTGTCTCTGTTGTCATTTCAGCAAATAGTTGAAGGAAAAGAGGCAAAGAGGGAGGATGTTCAAGGCAGGGGATACAGTAAGTGCAAAATTCCTGAGGCAGGAGCATATTTGGCTGTCATTCCATCACTTTGGATTTTTTTTTGGGGGGGGGGGGTTGGTTTTTTGTCCTCTGGCCGGTATGGGGATCTGAACTCTTGACGTTTGATTTTTT